TTATTCTCTCTCTGTGGAATGAACACTTTAGTATGTAAGGGTGCAATACTTTTAATGCGTACGTAATTCTTACTTTGTCATTTCAACATGTTACTTTTATATGTTTTGGTATTTATCTTTATTTAACCTTATTTTGTCTTTACCCCTCGCTCTGAATCAATACACTTATCTTATCTTAAATAAAAGGTTTAAAGGTTATCCCGAAATGTGTTTCAAGTTGTGTGCATTAAGTGCACTTGGTTAGCAATCAAAACCCCTCAGGGAAGCCTCAGAATTTAATTTTACAGGTATATAATTTTTAAGGAAAATGTACATTTTGGTCCATTTTTACATAAAAAGAAGTCATTTTAAAAACTGATCAATATCATTACATAGACAAGTATTTAGTAAAATCACAGTACACAGAAACGCAACCCAGTGCAGCCGAAGTCAGAGGAAACGTGAACCGTTGTTTTGAACCAGTTATAAAACTGTTAGAGAAAAGCTTTGAAGCAACTGAACTGGAAATTCCAGCAGCGTCAGAATCATCGCCAGCTATTGTGTGGTGTTTAAATATTCAGCTCCACGTTCAGCTTTATGTACACAGAAAACGCCTTGTGTTGACGCATTTCTGTCACGACGCAGGAATGCACGTCACAACAGTCGACTTTTACGCTAAACGGCAGGCAGTGAAATAAGAAATCTGATATAACGTTCACCGTTTTGCATTAATGAACACCTGTAATAAAATCTGACGATGCAGTGAATTTATTTACACAATCACTTTATCAGATTATCATTACATACATCGCATCTTTACACACTTCTGTTATCTGTTTAATCATTTTAGAAGAGAGACAATTTCCAGGAATCAATTAACACTTAAAGTTATGAACTCTAAGCTATAAACTATAAAGCAAACAGCCATAACGAGGCCAGTACATTTATCAAATAAACAAAATAAGTTAGCGTTTATACATGTTATATTTTGTACATAAAGTCTGTCTATCTATATGAAGATTCCAGGAAGTAAACGCAGTGCACATGACTAACAGTTGTAGAAGAAGTACAAATTAAGCGCAGGATTTTGAAATATCTGCTGCTTTCAGCTCCTAGAGCCTCAGAAGCACGGTCCATGCACACGACAGAGGATTGTGCATAACATTAACTACAAATACAATCTCTCGATCTAATTCTAGAAGTTTTATACATCCATCTATCTGCATTTCTTAATAGAGCATCTACATGTTTGCACTTGTGCACTTTATGTATAAATTATGTAGTTCTGTGTCGTCTTATGCAGCACCTTGGTCCTGGAGGAACGTCGTTTCGTTTCACTCTGTACTTGTATATGACTGAAATGACAATAAACTCCACTTTTTGAACTTTGAACATGTAATTTATCCACCTGTTACATGCAGAGTATTTAATAGGGGTGGGGTATTTGTGTGTGTGTGTGTGTGTGTGTGTGTGTGTGTGTGTGTGTGTGTGTGTGTGTGTGTGTGCGTGTGTTTTTGGCCTCACACTCGTCCAGTTCCTCGCACATCCACAACCCTTCATCGCTCAAGCGTGGCCTGCACTTTGGTTTCAATCAAGCGGCAAGAAAGTCGATATTAACTTACCACATTTAGAGGTGCATGACCACACACACTCACACACACACACACTCACACGCACACACACTCACACACTTACACACACACACACACACACACGCACACACACACACTAGTTACTTACAAATTCGGGGATGAAGAGGATGTCCGGCATGGTGGTGAAAATCTTACCCCCACTCGGAAGCCCATTGCCGGTCACTGCAGAGGCCATAATCCTAAAAGTTGTGTGTATATGTGTGTGTGTGTGTGTGTGTGTGTATGTGGGTGTGTGTCAACTGACTGAAAATGAGTTCACGGAGACGTTGGGTGGTTTATAAAGCAGGCTTGCTCTCCTCCTCCTCCTCCTCCTCCACTCCTTGTCATCCACCTGTTCCTCCTCTTTTGCTGGCTTTTGTTCTCATTTAATTCACAAGGCCATTTTTCTTGGATGTGAGAGGAGGAGGTGTGGTACAGACTGGTTGGATGGGAACTACGTGTAATGACATGTTTCCACAATAATGGCAAAGTTGATGTGTGTGTGTGTGTGTGTGTGTGTGTGCAGGAGGGAAGCTGTACCTGTGAGCCGAGACTGCAGTGCACAGGACTTCCAGCTTTCTCACTGGTCTAGAGCGTCTCTTCAGATTTTATGTTTTTATTTTATGTTGATCTCAGTGTGTATGTCAGTGATGGAAAGCCCTTTCCATGCACCTGACAGCAGGTGTGCGTACAGGTAGGAGTGGAAATAAGAGGCACTGAATGCAAAGGCACCATCATCACCTTCTGATTCAGATTTACACACACATACACACACACACACACACACACACACACACACATACTCACACTTTTATTACTTTTTACTGCTCTCAGATCCAACTGACCTGAACATCATGTCTATAATCAAAATGTGATTTGTTAAATTCTTTATTTATTAAATTGAGTTTTTTTCACAGATGACAATTTTGGGAAACATTTTTGAAATGTTCACCTTTTAATAAAAGTATGTGAGTTAACGGACATGCTCAGGAATTCGTCCTCTCTCAGTCATGCAAAGCTGTAAAACTAAGTGTTTGCTTTGGAGACTTAATCACAGCCTCAGTTTAACATCTGAAGAATTCTGCAAAAATATACTCAAAGCTGGCGATAAACAGGGAATACCACTGCTACCACTGCTACTACTCTTCTTCTTCTTTAATTATTATTATTATTATAAACAGGACTAAAAAATACATTACACATAATAAAGCAAAGTGAAAAGAGATTATAGTTAAGGCCAGTCCTATGTATGACTACTCCCATAAAAGAAAATCTGAAAAAATATCTTCCTGACTGAAATTTACAATTAAATCTTTTGGCTGACACTTTTATCCAAAAGGACTTACAATTGACATCGAATACAACTGAGCAGTTAAGGGTTATGTGTCTTGCTAAAGAGCCCAACAGTGACAGTATGGTGGTGCTGGGATCTGAACTCACAACCTGCTGATCAGTAGCTGATCATTTGTTACTGAGAGTAAGACTTTAGTTCCAGGGAATAAAATAAGGTTACTATATGTAAAGTATGGCTTCCTGTGGACAAGGTTGTGAGTAAGGTTAGGGTTACTGTGAGTAAGGTTAAGGTTAGGGTTACTGTGAGTAAGGTTAGGGTTACTGTGAGTAAGGTTAGGGTTAGGGTTACTGTGAGTAAGGTTAGGGTTACTGTGAGTAAGGTTAGGGTTACTGTGAGTAAGTTTAGGGTTAGGGTTACTGTGAGTAAGGTTAGGGTTACTGTGAGTAAGGTTAGGGTTACTGTGAGTAAGGTTAGGGTTAGGGTTACTGT